TGCTTCGTAATAAAATCTAAAGTTTTGGATTCAAACCACATTTACGACATTGTATAACTTTTTATTTTATAATAGGAAAATCTGTCACATGTCATGAGGAGAAGGCTTGGATATTAAGTCTAGCCTTTACTTAATAATAGTACTAGCGGGTGACACATGCATTACGCGTGCAATTCAAATAAGTAAATATAAAATAAAGTATTTATTAAATATTGTGTGCTAGTCAAGTGATAAGAGTCTTATTTGACAAATTCAAGGTCCAAGGTTCAGGTCTTGTTTATCTTGTTATTATCTTTTTAATTAGAAAATAAGGAACACGTGACAGAAGGAGAAACCATCAAACACTTGGACACCAAATCCAGTGCTCACATATATAATACTTCCTCCATACCAAAATTTTAGTCTCCAATTTCATTTTTCATTGTTTCAAAATATTAGTCCATTTTCAAAAACCAAGAATTAAAATAACATGAATTTCCTAGTTTGCCATTCTTTTAAGTTCAATAATTAATATTTTTGAAGCGTAATAATCGTACTACCAAAATTTTCTGAAGCCTTTGATCTTGTCTGCTACTACAAAAGAAAAAAACAGGTGATAGAGAAATAGAACTGCTGCTATATCACTCTCTATCTCACTTTTTCACTCGGAGGCTCTAATACCACTGTTACAAAATGAAGAAGAGATATACTTTTACACACAATAAGAGCTAGAAAGAGTATATTAATCTGCTCATATTTATTGATAAACCAAACAGCCATTATATAGGCAAGTAAACAAACTAATAGTAGCAAGAAAACAGGAACTACTAAAGCATGAAATTAGGAGCTGCAGTGACTGCATAACAGACTAAACTTACTCCTAAAACTAAGCCAAAGTAGGCCATGTACAGCAACTAACTAGGAACAACAGTAAACAAACTTCCTAAAGACTAGGAGAACTCCTTGACTTTTCTAACACTGAAAGCCTTATTTATTTTATTTTTTTTTTGTTTTGATCAGCCAAAAGAAAAAGATTTTATTAATCAAAAGTAGATCAAGAAACTTACAAAAAGTGGGAACAAACACTGCATCATTATCCAAAACATAGCATCCCAATTATGTTGGCACCCTATACATGATCAATCATGAGCAATCCCACAACAAACTAGAAAACCAGCACCATGCTTACACTGCTACAAATTAAAGATCAGATTATAAACTAAAAGCCCTTTTCGAGAGAATGAGTGAAAGGAGGATAGAGTTTACGAAATGATCAAGGAATTATCCATCCTATGCAAATTGGTTCCAAGCTTGAATGCTTGTTAAATATCATAGGTGTGATTCATGAACTTCATTTCATATACAAAGCAATCACAAATGAACCATAGGAATAGAGAGATCGAAAGAAAAACACTACCTAAGTCTAGTATAGGAGACAAACTCCTAAAAAATGAAAGCAACACACCACACCACTACCCTGTTAGAAGCAAAATCAAAACAAAACACATTAAATAGGACAAACAAACCCACCCAAAAGTTAGATGATTGCCCTCTGATTGAGATGACCAACAAAGACTCAGTTGAATCCTTGCATTTCTCGAAAAACAAGCTTGGTTCTCTTGGCTTTTGGAACTCAGCACCAAATTTCTGTCCTATATAGACAAGATCATCGCCAAGTTTTGAAGACTCGAAGACCATGAATTGAAGAATTCAAGACAATTTGTTCCAACAAAAAAGAAAAGTGCCAAAAGAAACCATATTGACAACTTAAAATTTCTAGTAAAAATTACAAGCAAAATAATCTTTTCTTAAAACAATAAATCAATAATTTAAAGCCTGAAATACAGAATCTATTTAAAAACAACAACTTACAACAAATCGGTGAGTTTCAATTATTAGGCTGTTTCCAATCAAACATAGGCCTCTCATAGCAAATTAGCCAAGCCGCAAACTCATAGTTGCTATTTTGTCATCAACCCACTCAAACTATGTTTCTTTAGACTGATTGGATTAGATGAGATTATCATTCTTAGGACTGTTGGTTCTGAAATTATCAATAACTTTATATTGTGCATCATATTCCATGTTTGGATTGTCTTAAGATTCTAAGTAATTAATAAAATCCTAACAATTTTGTAATTTAACTAATTAATTTAAACATCTTCTTAGTCCTCCATTTTATATCTCACGTCAATAGTCCGCCCTGTTTAGATAGGCTATTACTCTTAACCTCAATTTTCTTAGCCAATCATTAGATTTATATTTTGTTAGATTATTAGTCCAATCCGAATATCATGTCTTTCTAAATAAACATATCCTCAGTGTATATGCACAATTATATAATAGTATTATACAATATTAGAAGGCCAGGCACACCCATGATGTTGTAGAGAAATGATGGTTGTACCGTTGAATTATTATTATTATTGTTATTATTTTGAAGAAATTAAAATTTGAAATCAAATATTTGGACAGTTGCATAATGGTAATTTGAGTGTATACCATATGCACCTGTTATGTAATTTTATGGTGTATGTTACGTATTTTTGTGGTAAATGTTATGTAATTTTTTGGTAAAGTTATGATAATTTATGGTTGAGAAATGAAGTTATGCATTTTGTCGTAATGTTACGTATTTTTGTGTTCAAACATTTTATAACCAATTACGTAACACTCACAAAATACGTAATTTCATTTCTCAACCATAAATTGTCATAACTTCATCCAAAAAAATACGTTACATTCAGTGACAGAATTAGAAATTTAAAATAGAGGCACACATGTTAATCAAGTAATTCTATGAAGGATAAATAAGAAATAATCTTTATTTGTAAAACTATTAGTTTAAATATAAAAAAAGTTAGGGGGCACGTGACCCCTAGTCCTTAGCTACTTTTGTTTTTAGTAATATATATCATAAACATGCGTAATATGAATGCATAAGGTATAAATGTGTGTACCATAATAGCATTATCTAATTGTAAAACATGGTGTGAGCTATATACTTTATAAACAAAGGGGAAATATCACGTCACTAGTGTGTTAAATAAGTAATAACAAATGCATTGTGAAATTTTATAAATATTAATAATTAAAATTATAAATTTTTTCATGAATTTGTATTTTTTTTCCTAACATCACTGGGATGCAATAACCCATGTAATAAAATAGATAGGGATAATTTTACATCAATGAACATTTGGAAAAAATATTTTCAAATTAATTAAAATTTTATAAATATTGAAAAGTAAAATCATAAATTTTGGATTTGTAATTAATTTTTGAGGTTGACTAAGAGGGTCTCTAATGCTTACTCAAATGTTTCATCAAATTTAAATTCACGCCCCTTTTTTTTGCTCAACTATGTCATTAAACTCATATTAAATGAAGGCAAAGCTAGATTTTTTTTTATTAAATTAAAAGAGCGTTTAATCTTTCATCAAATTTTGTTGCTAACCGTTGGTGGACAACTGGCCAGTCAATTGGGTGGATGACTAGCAAGACATCCAGGTGGATGACCAGGTTGGGAAAGTTTTGCTAAAAATTTACTCTAAGCTGAATGACCGACCAAATTTAATGAAACGATTGAAATACAATATATTAGATCAAACTTTAAACGTTTGAGATGCTTTAACATGTAATTTAAATTCCCCAAATAGATATATATCTGCTACATGTACATAAATAGAGAGAGAGAGAGAGAGAGAGAGGGAGTACTCGGGCGAGTGGGGTCATGAGGCTTATCATCAGAATGAATTTGAAATCCCACTATTTCCCACAATCACCACCACAACCACAAGTGCATAGCTGTACACTGAAAATTTCATGTTTTACTCTCTCTCTCTCTGTCTCACGACTACCTTCTCTCTCTAAATATGAGAGTTGTGTGTGTGAACTATGAGCTCTGTGTGTGTGTGTGAACTACCAACCAACTTCCCACACACAACTATTTTAGCCAGGTTAAAATAGCTAAAAAGATAAAAAGGTCAATTAAAATAGCCAACTTCCCAAACACAACATTTCAATTTTTATTCGATCTACTAATATGTTGTCTATGAATTTAGAATTTGCTTATGTATATTTTCTAAAATGTTCATCTTAAATACAATAAACTTCTTAAGCAAGTCAAGATATCTTGACTTTGCTCATTTTTCTGGTAATAATTCAACAACACTTCTTTGTTGACAAAAGTGGTCATGTGAATGGTTATGAGTTCATTTGTATCAATTTTCTTTGTGTGTTAGACCTACATGTGCACATGTTTGAGACTGATGTCTAGAGATTAGGCTAGGCAAAAGGCTTAAAGCTTTTGTAGATCAATGTTGAAGGAATGATTTGGATGCTTGAAATTGACTTTCTAGTAAATGTTTCTGTATAGTGAGGATGTTTTACAATGTGTTTGAATTGATATTTTTTTGCAACCAAAAACCTTTTTTCTTTTTCTTTTTTTTTTTTGATAAGCCAAAAGCAAAGATTTTATTAATCCGAAGTAGATCAAGAAACTTACAAAAAGTGGGAACACACACTGCATCATTATCAAAAACATAGCATCCCAACTATGTTGGACCCTATGCGTGATTAATCATGAGCAATCCCACAACAAACCAGAATTGGAGAGGTTTCAATATGGCTACACAAAAAAGAAGCATAACAGAGGAAACAGAGCAAAAGCTCAAGCCCCAGCACCATGCCTACACTGCTACAAATTGAAGATCAGATTATAAACTAAAAGCCCTTTCTGAGGTTTAGGGACTTACAAAGATTTAGCATTTCTTTGTTTATTCGAGAGAATGAGTGGAAGAAGGAAAGAGTTTATGAAATGATCAAGGAATTATCCATCCTATGAAAATTGGTTCCAACCTTGAATGCTTGTTAAATATCATAGGTGTGATTCATGAACTTCATTTCATATACAAAGCAATCACAAGTGAACCACAGGAATAGAGAGATCGAATGAAAAACACCACCTAAGTCTAGTATAGGAGAGAATCCTAAAAAATGAAAGCAACACACCACACCACACCACACCACACCACTACCCTGCTAGAAGCAAAATCAAAACAAAACACATAAAATAGGACAAACAAACCCACCGAAAACTTAGATGACTGCCCTCTGGTTGAGATGACCAATGAAGACTCAGTTGAATCCTTGCATTTGTCGAAAAACAAGCTTGGTTCTCTTGGCTTTTGGAACTCAGGACTAAAGTCGTAGATGTCCAATAACAGTGGAGCCAAGTTCCCATGGAAAATCTTGTTCACCAGCTACCTGGAAATACAAAAATCAAGAAGACTGGATATTATACAACGTCGTACATGTTGATAGCATGCAAGATGGCCAGAGCTCGAGTGTTTCTCTTATTCATGGTTGGATTACGTTGACCACAGAGCCTACTTGTTGTTCGAGAGCCAAGATATATGTAATACAACAAGTGAGCTACTGCAGAATTCAAGACACATTATTGTGTCTCTAACTGTGATGGAAATTATAGAGGATTGATACTTTTAAATTAGGCATATAAAAGTTTGTAAAATGGTAATTAGAATAAAAGAGTAGCAAAATAGACTGGAAACAGGGTGAAATTGAATGGTATAAGAAGACAATTGAAAGCAAGAACATAATGCAATCCAAGAATAAAAGGGAAAATAAATACTCAAGAGCTCGCGCAGTTGATGTCAAAGAGTTGTCCTAATGTAATCGTGTAGAATTGATTTTGCAGTGTTGGCCTTTGCTTTGATAGTATTGTAGCAACTTGTTGCATGGTTGGCCGAGACAGTGGAGTGGTGTGTAGACATGCAAATGCTAGTTTCGCAACAACAACTATTTGCTCTGCCACTTGATTCCTCGGAGGTAGGAGACATTGGTCCAAGATGTCCTTCAAAAATATCCTTTGCGCAGTTGATGTTGATGATGAGGACGAGGATGACAATAAAGAGGAGATTAGATCACCCGGATGCTTCCCCATAATCACTTCCAATGCTAGCACCCCAAAACTATAAACATCGCACTTCTCATTCACTTCCATTGTATAAGCAAGTTCTGCCCAAAATTAAAAATGCCCAACAACAAAAAACAGTTAAATAATGAAAGGGTGGAAAAGAAAACAAAAATGCTCCTGGTCCATTTCCAGACATTGATTAAATTGCTTGGAATTCATTGATAAAGGATGCGAATAGTTTAGGGTTCCAAAAAAAGGAAATTATATAAATGCTTGATGAATGCCAATGCTGAAATTTCAGAATATGAAAACTTGAGAACCATGAATATCTTAAAATAGGATATTTAGTTCATTGAAGCAACTACCTACCTTTCCATACATGATTTTCAAGACATCAATAGGATTGTTAGTCACCAATATTAACTAAAGTCTTTCAAGTGTTATTAGTCTTTCTGATTTGATGACCAACCTAAACAATTTGAGAGAAATAAAGAATTAATGAAAGTTTGCTCACTGCCAAATGTTAACAGTAGAAATATAAGTTTTTGAAGCAAAGAACTATATATAGTGTCTTTTGAAGGACTGTTCACAAGTGCAAGGATGGATGCATGATTTTAATCATAGGGGGCGAACTTATAATCAAGGAGAAAAAAATACTACGTGTGTTGCTTAGTTTGGATAATTTTCCCTAACAAAAATGTGCATTTTGTAGTCACTATAGACATAGGTAAAGTTAAAAGATGACGATTCAATCTATTGACAAGAGGATAAATTATAAACTTTTTTGCTTTACAAACACTTTGGCACAACTGAAATATTATTAATAATTTTTGAAATTCGGAATGTCTAATTTTTTAACTGGAATTTCAAATGTAAATTAAATTTACATGCAAGCTTGCAAATATCTTTAATTTTGAAAAATCAATCATTTTTGTTAGATCAGTTTTTTTAATTCTTGTAATTGAGTATCGCATGTAATTGTAAAATGTCAACTCGAAAATGCTCAATGGTAATGTGATCTCTTTGTTGGCAAGTACGACTTCCATCGAATGTAATTAAGTCAAAGAAGAAGAAGAAGAATAATAAAGAAAGACAGAATTTAAATACAGAAATAAGAAAAGGAGGAAGAATTGAAAGTATAAGTTGTTTTAAAATAGAGATGGAGAAGAGGAAGAAAAAGTGAAAATGGAAATTGAGTTCTGGGCAGAATTTAAATAACAATAAAGATAGGAAAAAATTGAGGAAAGAGAAGAACAAGAAGGGAAGAGGAGAACCGAAACAAACAGGAAGAATAAGAGGCAAAGATAGAAAGGAAACCTAGAGTTAGAAGAGTAACGATTGAAACACAGCACTTCAAATCGACATAAAGAAAATCAATAAAATCTTGGAGGGGTGAGCGTATATAATTTATAAATATTGATAACTAATACCACTATATTTAAGGAGTTATTTCAAAATTTTGGGGTGGCGGTCGCCCTGCCAACCCCCTCGACCCATCCCTGCACAAGTGGTAGGTCATTAGAGCGGGCCAAAGTCTCAACTATAACCATAAACACCAAAATAAAGGAAACACATAGAATCCTGCTAAAATAATCATTTTCTTAAATGAACGTTAAACAAAGAGAAAATATTTCATGTCTTGCAAAAAAGAGTTTTTATTTTTTACTTTTTGGTAACCCTTGACGACATAAGGAGAAATTTATTAATAATCTAAAATCGAGAGGGGTAATGAGCCTTATCTCTCAAGAAATAGAAGAAAAAAAATATTCATGCAAAAAAATGGGTAAATTACACTTTACATCCTTATATTTTACATTTAATCTCACCTTACCTTCTGACCTTTTAATTGTTTTAGTCAACCCTCTAGACTTCGAGTCAAATTGGAATTGGGCCCATTTGTATAACCTTGTTTCAAAAACTAACAAAGATTAGTCATTTGATAGAATTAATTACAATTAGCACCCCTGCACTTTTATCAAAATCTCACTTTATTCCTTATCAACTTGTATTTTTACCAAAATCTCATTTTAAGAAAATGTTATATGCTTAGGCCCAATTGAAACTGGACTTGAAGTCTAGAGGCTGACTGAAATAATTTAAAAGTGAAAGGGCAAAGTAATAAATGGTGTAAAGTATAGGGATACAATGTAATTTGGTCCAAAAAAGAATCAACACTAACAAACTTGAATGTATATATATACAAAGTACCGAACCTGTCTAAAGCCACAACAGGCTTAACCAATCTACAAGGCTCTTAAAAAGTAGAGAGATAAGAATTATTATCACAACCCCAATTAGCTAACACATCTGCAACTCTATTTACTTACTTCAGTGCATATTTTTCATCTAAAATGGCTTTTCATCATACATGAGAATTTAGAGGTATGCATATTAGAAACAAATGGAATAACAAGCTTAAATCTAGCAATTTGTCATCATTAGTAAGTTAAAATGAACAAATACTACATGGGTAATTTAATTGGAAATAAATCATTGCAATAGAAAAATATATACCAGGAGCAGCATAACCAAAGGTCCCAACAAATGAAGTCCAATTGGATGAGTTGAGATTCATAAATCTAGCCGTGCCAAAATCAGATATGTGAGCCACATACTCGAAATCAAACAAAACATTCTTGCTTGATATGTCTCGATGGATGATTGGTTGAAAACAATCATGATGCATATAAGACAGAGCATTTGCCACACCTTTAACAGTGTTCACTCTCTGAATCCACTCAAAGACTACTATATCATCGTCCATACTCAACACCTTTCCCAAGCTTCCCCCTTCCAAGAACTCATAAACCAAAAACGAGTGCCTTGGGTGTGAACAATAACCGTACAGCTTTACAATGTTGTGATGCCGAATCTCAGTTAATGTGCGGATCTCACTTGTAAACCCTTTTAGATTAGCCGAGTCATCATCAAGTGTTGCATGAAGTTTCTTCACTGCAACTACTTGACCATTTGGTAGGTTAGCTCTATAAACGGTACCACATCCTCCCTCTCCAACACAATATTTGGCACTGAAGTTCTCAGTGACTTCAATGATGTTTTCATAGACCATTTTTCCATCACAGCTCCATATTGCAAAAACATTATCATGGTTTACTCGTGACTGCTCGTTTTTTGTGTTCGTCACTTTCTTACGAAAAGACATGAAAATGCCAAGAACCATTAGCAAAAGAAACAAAATTCCAAAAACAAGAAGTATAGTTAGTAACTTAACTTTCTTGCCCTTTTTTTCAACATCCTCGTTGTTCAATTTTGTCAAGCAAGCCTTCAGACCAGTAGCATTACCACATAAACCTTTATTACCTTTGAGTGCCTCGAATGGAGCCTCTTGGAAGGCCTTGATGTCAGGCAGAGGACCCTCTAACTGATTGCATGACACATCAATTGAAGTAAGACTTACCATTTTATTGAAAGATGATGGTATAGAACCAAAGAACTCATTGTGGGAGAGATTCAACGTTTCTAAGTGAAAATCCTACGTGATTTGTGATTAGATCAAGATTAACTGATTCCAAATCCCAATAAAACAAAACACTTAACCTAAAATCATCAAACACTTACGAGAGAGTAAGACTTACCATTTTATTGAAAGATGATGGCATAGAACCAAAGAACTCATTGTGGGAGAGATTCAACGTTTCTAAGCTTTGCAATTCTCCAATCTGTTGTGGTATCTTACCAATTAGCAAGTTATTACCAAGATCAAGACTTTGAAGAGTGTTGATCTAGCCTATTTCAATAGGAATGCTTTCCCCAAATCTATTATTGCTCAAATTCAAGTTCCAAAGTTTCTTGCACTCTCCTAGTGCTCTAGGGATTGAGGCACTTAGATTATTTGCTGCCAAGTTAAGAAACCTAAGATTCGACAATTTGCCGAGTTCTAGAGGAATGTTGCCTGATAGTTGGTTATCATTCAGCCTAAGGTCGAACAATGAAACCAACCTTCCTAATTTCAATGAGATCTCTCCAACTAAATGATTCGAAGAAAGGTCAATGACAGATAGTTGAGTTGCCTCTACCAATTCAGGTGGTATCTCACCAGAAATATTATTCCTAGACATTTTGAGACTGGTTATATTGTGGCATTTTCCCCATTTTTTAGATAGCTCACCGTAGAAATTGTTGCGACTCAAATCAATGTAATCCAAGTTTGGGTATATGCCAAAATCTTCTGATATATTGCCCGACAGTTGGTTTCCTTCAAGCCTGACTCTATGTAGGCTATGGCAATTTTTCAAGCTTTTTGGGATAGGACCCGTGAGATTGTTGTCATCTGCACTTAATTCTGTAAGTAATCCACTAAAGCATATGTTTTCTGGTAAATGACCAACGAGCTTGTTGTAACCTATCTGAAACCATTTCAAATGTGTAAGATTGTTCAATCTTGGAGGAATAGAGCCAGTGAGTTGGTTATCAACGAATGACAAATAACCAAGTTGTTTTAAATTTCCTATCTCTGAAGGAATGGAGCCTGATAATGGATTTAGACTTAAATCTAATGTATTCAACTTTGTCAAGTTTCCAATTGTCGAAGGAATGAGTCCTGAAAGCATATTTCGATTGAGGAACAAAGTGGTTAACATGCCTAAGTTTCCTATAGATGCAGGGATTGAACCAGTGAGGTTGTTCATTTCGAGTTCGAGACCAACGAGAGACCTCAGCATCCCAACTTCTTGAGGGATTGATCCAGAAAGTTGGTTGTCAAAAAGGTGCAGAGTGGTTAAGTTGCCCAAGTTCCCTATAGATGCAGGGATTGAACCCGTGAGGTTGTTCATTGAGAGTTCGAGATCAACGAGAGACCTTAGCATCCCAATTTCTGGAGGGATTGATCCAGAAAGTTGGTTGTCAAAAAGGTGCAGAGTGGTTAAGTTGCCCAAGTTCCCTATAGATGCAGGGATTGAACCCGTGAGGTTGTTCATTGAGAGTTCGAGATCAACGAGAGACCTTAGCATCCCAATTTCTGGAGGGATTGATCCAGAAAGTTGGTTGTCAAAAAGGTGCAGAGTGGTTAAGTTGCCCAAGTTCCCTATAGATGCAGGGATTGAACCCGTGAGGTTGTTCATTGAGAGTTCGAGATCAACGAGAGACCTTAGCATCCCAATTTCTGGAGGGATTGATCCAGAAAGTTGGTTGTCAAAAAGGTGCAGAGTGGTTAAGTTGCCCAAGTTCCCTATAGATGCAGGGATTGAACCCGTGAGGTTGTTCATTGAGAGTTCGAGATCAACGAGAGACCTTAGCATCCCAATTTCTGGAGGGATTGATCCAGAAAGTTGGTTGTCAAAAAGGTGCAGAGTGGTTAAGTTGCCCAAGTTCCCTATAGATGCAGGGATTGAACCCGTGAGGTTGTTCATTGAGAGTTCGAGATCAACGAGAGACCTTAGCATCCCAATTTCTGGAGGGATTGATCCAGAAAGTTGGTTGTCAAAAAGGTGCAGAGTGGTTAAGTTGCCCAAGTTCCCTATAGATGCAGGGATTGAACCCGTGAGGTTGTTCATTGAGAGTTCGAGATCAACGAGAGACCTTAGCATCCCAATTTCTGGAGGGATTGATCCAGAAAGTTGGTTGTCAAAAAGGTGCAGAGTGGTTAAGTTGCCCAAGTTCCCTATAGATGCAGGGATTGAACCCGTGAGGTTGTTCATTGAGAGTTCGAGATCAACGAGAGACCTTAGCATCCCAATTTCTGGAGGGATTGATCCAGAAAGTTGGTTGTCATAAAGGTGCAGTGTGGTTAAGTTGCCCAAGTTCCCTATAGATGCAGGGATTGAACCGGTGAGATAGTTCCTATAGAGTATGAGTTCAATGAGAGACCTCAGCATCCCAATTTCTTGAGGGATTGATCCGGAAAGTTGGTTGTCAAAAAGGTGCAGAGTGGTTAAGTTGCCCAAGTTCCCTATAGATGCAGGGATTGAACCGGTGAGATAGTTCCTATAGAGTATGAGTTCAATGAGAGACCTCAGCATTCCAATTTCTTGAGGGATTGATCCAGAAAGTTGGTTGTCATAAAGGAGCAGACTGGTTAAGTTGCCCAAGTTTCCAATTGAAGAAGGGATTGAACCCCTTATCACAACCCCAATTAGCTAACACATCTTAAACTCTATTACTTACTTCAGTTGCATATTTTTCATCTAAAATGGCTTTTTTCATCATACAATGAGAATTTAAGAGGTATTGCATATTAGAAACAAATGAATAACAAGCTTAAATCTAGCAATTTGTCATCATTAGGTATAGTTTTAAAATGTAACCAAATACTACATGGGTAATTTAATTGGAAATTAAATCTTGCAATTAGAAAAATACTTAATTACAGGCAGCAGCACCAAAGGTCCCAACAATGGAAGTCCAATTTGGATGAGTTGAGATTCATAAATCTAGCCGGTCTGCAAAAATCAGATATGTGAGCCACATTACTCGAAATCAAACAACAAACATTTCTTGGCTCTTATATGTCTCGAATGTGTATGGATGTATGTTGAATGTGAAAACAATCATGGTGCATATAAGACAGAGCATTTTGCCCACACCTTTACAGCATGATGTTCACTTCTCTGAATCCAATCAAGGACTACTTATATCATCGTCCATACTCAAACACCTTTCCCAAGCGTTCCCCCTTCCAAGAACTCATTTAAACCAAAAACGATGCCTTGTTGGAACATAGGTCGTTTACAATGTGTGTTGATGCCGAATCTCAGTAAATGTGCGGAATCTCACTTGTAAACCCTTTTAGATTAGCCGAGTCATCATCAAGTGTTGCATTGAAGTTTTCTTCCACATTGCAACTACTTGACCATTTTGGTAGGTTAGTCATAAACTGGTACCACATCCCCCTCTCCAACACAATATTGGCACTGAAGTTCTCAATACTTCAATGGATGTTGTGTTTCATTTAGACCATTTTCCATCATAAGCTCCATATTGCAAAAACTTATCATTGGTTTACTCGTGACTGCTCGTTTGTTTTGTGTTCGTCACTTTCTACGAAAAGCCATGAAAATGCCAAGAACCATTAGCAAAAGAAAACAAAAATTCCAAAAACAAGATATATAGTTAGTAACATAAACTTTCTTTGCCCTTTTTTTCAAACATCCCGTTTTCAATTTGTCAAGCAAGCCTTCAGGACCAGTAGCATAACCACAATAAACCTTTATTACCTTTGAGTGCCTCGGCAATGGCAGCCTCTTGGAAGGGGGCCCTTTTTGGATGTTTTCAGGCAGGAGACCCTCTTAACTGATTGGTTATGACACATCAATTGAAGTAAGAGCTACCATTTTTATTGAAAGATGATTGGTATTAGAACTCAAAAGAATCATTGTGGAGAGATTTCAACGTTTCTAAGCTTTGCAATTCTCCAATCTGTTGTGGTATCTTACCAATTAGCAAGTTATTACCAAGATCAAGACTTTGAAGAGTGTTGATCTAGCCTATTTCAATAGGAATGCTTTCCCCAAATCTATTATTGCTCAAATTCAAGTTCCAAAGTTTCTTGCACTCTCCTAGTGCTCTAGGGATTGAGGCACTTAGATTATTTGCTGCCAAGTTAAGAAACCTAAGATTCGACAATTTTTTTCGAGTTCTAGAGGAATGTTGCCTGATAGTTGGTTATCATTCAGCCAAGGTCGAACAATGAAACCAACCTTCCTAATTTCAATGAGGATCTCTCCAACTAAATGATTCGAAGAAAGGTCAATGACAGATAGTTGAGTTTGCCTCTACCAATTCAGGTTGGTATCTCACCAGAAATTATTATTCCTAGACATTTTGAGACTGGTTATATTGTGGCATTTTCCCCATTTTTTAGATAGCTCACCGTAGAAAATTGTTGCGACTCAAATCAATGTATCCAAGTTTGGGTATATGCCAAAATCTTCTGATATATTGCCCGACAGTTGGTTCCTTCAAGCCTGCACTCTATGTAGGGCTATGGCAATTTTTCAAAGCGTTTGGGATGGAACTGTGAGATTGTTATCATCTGCAAGCAAAAACGTGTAAGTAATCCACTAGAGCATAGGTTTTCTGGTAAATGACCAACGAGCTTTGTTGTAACCTATCTGGAAACCATTTCAAATGTGTAAGATTGTTCAATCTTGGAGGAATAGACCAGTGAGTTTGTATCAACGAATGACAAATAACCAAGTTGTTTTTATTTCCTATCTCTGAAGGAATGGAGCCTTGATAATGGATTTAGACTTAAATCTAATGTATTCAACTTTGTCAAGTTTTCCAATTGTCGAAGGAATGAGTCCTGAAAGCATATTTCGATTGAGGAACAAAGTTGGTTAACATGCCTAAGTTTCCTTATAGATGCAGGATTGAACCTAGTGAGGTTGTTTCATTTCGAGTTCGAGACCAACGAGAGACCTCAGCATCCCCAACTTCTTGAGGGATTGATCCAGAAAGTTGGTTCAAAAAGGTCTGTGCAGAGTGGTTAAGTTGCCCAAGTTCCCTATAGATTGCAGGGATTGAACCGTGAGGTTTGTTCATTGAGAGTTTCAGATCAACGAGGAGACCTTTTAGCATCCCAATTTCTGGAGGCGATTGATCCAGAAAGTTGGTTGTCCATAAAGGTACAAAATGGTTAAGTTGCCCAAGTTTCCAATTGAAGAAGGGATTGAAACCCGTGAGATTGTTAGTATACAAGCCAAGCTCATTGAAGAAGCTGAGCAATCCCAATTGTTGAGGGATGGAGCCACCGATTGGGTTTTCTATTCAGGTACAAGAACCTTTAGATTAGTTAGTTGGCCTATTCGGTCGGAATTGTTCCAGAGAGATTTGTTGAGAGACAAGCTAAGGTAGGTGAGTTCTCCAAAGGTACCAATGTGAGAGGGGATGGTCCCATAAAGTGAGTTGTTAAAAAAGTCGAAGTTTTGAGGAGATGAGGGAAGCATGAGAAATTAAGATTTAGAAAGAGTACCTTTCAAACCATAACTGTGAAGGTCAATATGGGCAACTCTACCGGCCTTATTGCAACGAATTCCAAGCCAACTGCAATGGTTGGTTCCAACCCAGAGGATAGAAGAGTTTGAGTTTGGTTGTGAAGGGTAGCTTTCCACGTCAAGAGAGCCGTGGGTCAGTTGCTTGTTTTCCAGTTAAGGAAGAAGCAAAAGCAGCATAATCAAAAAAAGTGGGGAATGCAAGGATTGATGAGGCAGAGTAAAAGGGGTGGGAAAGAAAAAAAGTGATTGGGAAGTGTATTGGGCAAGAATGTCATTGTAGGCTTGTTTGTTATTAATAGAATAGAAAGCTATGAAAGACAGTAATAGGATTGAGAGATGAAGAGCTGCAAGAGCATGGAGAGGTATTTATAGATAATACAACTTGGAAACTCTAATTTAGTTTTAGAATTATGATTTAAATGTGATTTAAGTGTAAAATTATGAGTTGAATTTTGAAAGAGAAAATTTGTTTTGGTATGAGTTTGAAAAATGTTTAAATTTTTTTTAAATTTTGAAAAGAGTTTTGAGTTATATTTTGAGTTTTGAGTTTATAAATTTTGAGTTGTATTTTGAATTTTTGATTTATTTTTTTTTAAAATATTAAAAAATGTTTAAGAAAATTTATTTTTTATTTAAATATATGATTTTTAGTTAAAAATTTTTATTTAAATATTTTATTTATTTTGTAAATATTTTAATTTTTTAAATTTAATATTTTAAACTCAAAAAACACAATTCCATACTTAAATTGTAACCAAACATATAACTCAAAACTCAATTCAAAAATTATTTTGAAAAACTCATAACTAAACACATAACTCGATACTCCACATTACTTTTCAAAAATCTATACTCAAATCGTAATCAAATGCATAACAAAAAATAAAATAAAATATTGAAAAATATATTTATAAATTAAATAAAATAAATATTAAAAATAAAAAAATTATATATTTAAAAATAAAAAATAAAATTTTTAATTTTTTTTAAAATTTAAAAAATACAGCACATAAATGTATGAAATATAGTGCACATTAAAATAAATAAATAAATATTTAAAAATATAGAATATTTATCCTAAAAAAAATAAAATTAAGAATTATTTTTAAATATTTAAAAAAATAAATCCAAAAAATTCAAAATACAACTCAAACCTCAAAATAAGAACTCAAAACTCTTTTCAAAATTCATTATCAAACAAATTCTCTTTCGAAAACTCAATTTAAAAACTCATAACTCAAATACGATTCCACACTCAATTATGATTCTAAAATAAATAAAAAATATTTTTTTGAATTTATGTAATTAATTATTTGTAATGTTTTTTTTTTAGTCTGTTGACTTATTTTAGTGCAAATTGTCGTTTTGATGTTAATAATGGAGTTTCCTTTACGTCGTTGACAATTATATGCCCCAACACCCCACTTTTGACAATTATATGCCTCCAACACCCCACTTTTTGATTATGTACACCAATACATTATACATAAAAGATTGGGGAAACTGATGTATCAGGTGTAGTTTTTTTTTTTTTTTTTTAAAAAAAAAAAAAAATCAAAGTATGATAAAACTTTTAGAGGTAAATCTACAAACATTAT